GAGGAGCAGTGATCACAAGTTAAACATAATCAACCATTCACCTATCAGCAGATCTATCCTCTTTCTCTGCTGTCTGGAAGTGACAAGTTTCACACCGTCTTTGTGCTATCATAATGCTTTATTTAATGATCCTCGTGCGAATCAAAAGACCTTTTGTTGAGGGATATGATGTGGAAATGTGGTGCCAATCTCCTCCATTAGAAGGCCCATCACTGTAATGAGCCGGGGGCATGAAAAGAAAATGAGCTGCGGAGGGGCGGCGGGGGGTGTTACGTCAAGACTGGGAGCTCTCATTGTCTTATGGAATAATTATGCTGCTCAAACGTGGACACCACAACACACACACACACACACACACACACACACACACACACACACATGCCAATCTATAACCAGAAGGTAACACATTATAGAATATCACAGCCTGTTGGACATTATATCTGTGAAAATGGACAGGATAGGACCAGATAGGACCAGATAGAACCGGATAGGACTAGATAGGACCGGATAGGACCAGATAGGACAGGATAGGACAGGATAGGACCAGATAGGACCAGATAGGACAGGATAGGACCAGATAGGACCAGATAGGACAGGATAGGACAGGATAGGACCAGATAGGACCAGATAGGACAGGATAGGACCAGATAGGACAGGATAGGACCAGATATGACCAGATATGACCAGATAGGACCAGATATGACCAGATAGGACCAGATAGGACCAGATATGACCAGATATGACCAGATAGGACCAGATAGGGCAGGATAGCACAGGGTAGGACAGGATAGGACAGGGTAGGACAGGATAGGACCGGATAGGACCAGATAGGACCAGATAGGACCAGATAGGACCGGATAGCACAGGATAGGACCGGATAGGACCAGATAGGACCAGATAGGACCGGATAGGACCAGATAGGACCGTTTAGGACAGGAGAAAATGTGGGCTCAAACTTTGCACACCCAGCAACAACCTATTTCATATCTGACGTGTTTTCAGTTTATTTCTCTTGACAAAAGTTATCTCTTGAATATATATTGCAACACTACCAGCTCTTGATAGGTATTGGTCGATTAATCGTCTATCGGCTTTTCCCGGTTTCAAACTATTGTTTTAAAATTCCACTGTCCGTCGACATGATGGAAGTTTAATTGTTTAGTTTCAGGGTCTGCTTTCGGTTCATTAACTATTTGGAGTGAATTATAGGAAAACAGCGAGAGAGGGAGAGAAATAAATATTCACAGATTGACTGAAATGTAAAAGCCATAAACCGACTCACTAATTAATTATACACAAGGACGTGTCTTTTTGTCCTTGTATCCTCTCTATACCTTTTTTTTTATAACTCGTGCATGGAATATCTCCCTGTCTCTCCATGCCTGAGCCATGGTACGTATGAATTATGAATGTCGGAAGAGTACGGGCTTTTTCTTTTTTATTTGCAATTTAAGGGCCTCAAATCTTTTGGTGCACTAAATTATTCATATATTCAAATGAATATGACTTTGAGGACATTTTTTTTCTTTCTTCTCTCCTGTCGTAAATTTAGAGTGTATATCCTTCAGAGGGATCAGGCAGAATTGCCAAGACTATAAGCGGTAAAGGTTTCAGTAGAGCTTTGATTTCAGTCCACTTTAAAGGTGTCTTGCCCAGACGTGTTCTTGCACATGTGTGTTGTCGTTTAAGCCCGTTACCCCCCCCCCAGAACCAATGTCCTATTTTCATCTCTCTCATTGTTATTCCAGCCAAGTACTCGCCTGTCAGGCTACTGTCCTGCGTGTCTCTGTGTGAGTGTGTCCCTGTTATGCCTCAGTATGTTTTCTCTGCACCCCGCCGTCAGATCTGTGGAAATCTTTTTGATTGGCATGACACTGCCACGAGACCAAAAGCTGCAGTACAGTCTGTGCATATTTATTGCTCTGCAAAATCTTTAAAAAACCAAACTGAACGTCACAAATAATTCTGCACAACATCTCGGAGACGAGGACAATATATATTACGTTCTTACTGTTTCTCACAGATTAGGGATGGAGCGATACTTTCTCTTGCAATCAGGAGAAGTCAAGTGAAACGGTCCGCTCTCCTGCTCTCATCAAAGTCTTGCTTTTGTGAGCTTCTCTCTCAGAGCAGTGCAAATTGCTACAGATTACCAGAGAGATGTAACGCATATCTGGCAGTGCATCTACAATAACCAGAACTTCCAACATACTTGCAACTATTATCTTGACACCTTCCTGTTATCTGGGGGTTTAAAGTTGTCCCCCCCCAGAGTTTAGCAGAATGAGCTTGTCAAACATACACACACACACACACACACACACACACACACACAGTTTAGCCCAAAATAGTCACAAAATGCAATTGCACCCCCTTCGTTGCCATCTCCCCCTCATTAACATGCAGTGCAGAGACTGGTGTCCTCACAAGGGCAGTGTTAGGATGGCATGGAGTCAGAGCAGGCTGGGATATCAGGGAATGACACGGAATTGGCGGCCACGCCTTCTGGGATTAGTTACAAAAACCAGCTGAGGCCAAAGCTCTTATCTCCATCCTTCAGTCCTCTCTCTCTCTCACACACACACACACACACACACACACACACACACACACACATTTGCACAGAAACAAGCACGTGTTGTCACAGAGACATAATTAGCTCTCCGAAACATATTCCCTCCTTAGGAAAAACAGAGAATCGGGTGAGTGTAACGATTCCCTGTAATAGATTTAGAAATGGTCTTGCAGAGTGTGATTAGCAGAGTGGAGGTCAGGGGAAATAATTATTTGAATAATTAAATCATGTTCCTGCCCTCTGTCCTTGGTTTCTCTCTCAACACTGTCAACACCAGCGAAACTGCCTTAAGCGTCTCATTAAAAATATTTTAATAAATATATATATATTTTTTCATTTGGGTGGTTCAGATTAAGGAAATATCCACAAACGGATACATGCTCATCAGTTGAATCCCAGACCTGTCAAATGTTGTGTGAAGTACACATGAATATCAGCCATGTGATGTCAGTGAAAGCTGGATTTGGGTGTGAAATAAAGTCATGGTCCTCTCATGTCCACTCTCTCTGTTCTCCAGTGCTGCTATTCCCCTCTGGTGTCTGTGTCAGCGGGCAGATGGCGGAGGACAGAGGCATCTGTGGAGGCGGAGGCACCTTTTCCCCTTCAAAGAGCAGGTACAGGTGTCGTCTGCCACACGATTAACACCTTCATGAATACCAACCATCAAGGTGCTAACAAGCTCATGCGTGAGATTTAGGGTCATGCGCAAGATCTATTTTAGAACAGAGGCGACTGAGCTGCATTTCAAGTGGTTCGCATACTCTTACAATCAAAGCAAAGCACTTTAAAGGGCTGGTTCACGCAAATTACAAAAAAAAAATCTTTCCTCCACTTGAACTCATTTCTATCAAAGAAATACTTTGTTCTGTTGACAGCTTGTTCTGTTGATTCTCCAAAGTAACACGAACACTGTCTCTGTGAGCGGCATGGCTTTGCGGTCTGTCAGTATGTTGATAGATCTGTCGCTCGGTGTTGAAATAGCTCCACAATTATGGGATGTACAGACATTAATGGTCCCCAGATGAATGAACTCAATGACGTTGGTGACTCTGGCTTTTCGTCTGGCACCATCAGCAGGTTGTCATTTGTGTTTTAGAATGAAATGTCTAGACAATTATTGGATGGGTCGCTATATAAATTTGCCACAAATATTAAATTCTACTGACTAATAGTGATCCTCTGACCTTCTAATCACACCAGCAGGTCATTATTTTCCAGTATCTCAACATCCACTTGATGTACAAACATTTACTGTCCCCAGACGATGTAATACCTGCGAGACTAATTACATAACTGTACTTTGTGCCGTTTACTGCTAATTAGCACTTCGATGGTGAACATGGCAAACATGCTAGCATTAACATGTTAGCACGATGTTAGCATTCAGCTGAAGGCACCACCACTTATAATCAACAACAAACAAACCCCGCCTCCATATTGTATTGGTTAGTGGCCTCAAGAGGTGAGTGAGAAAATATTATAATTTATAATTTGGGTGAACTGACCTTTTAATGAGGAGACCATAATGTTGGGTTGCTCACTAAACAGTTTAACTTCTGAGAACAGAATCATCTCTGTTGTTGATTGATGAAAACATATGGAGAGCATTTTGGGGAAAAAAGATCTTATTTCATATGTAGTTAGTTTCTGCATAATATGTCCATATATGGTCATTTTTTATTTGTATAGAACGATGTGTGCACTTTTACAGAATAGATGTGCTGAGCTGCTGTTAAGAGACATAGTGTTTAGAGGGGGGATCAGAAGGAGAAAGAGAGAGGGAAAAAAACAAGCTGAAGATGAAGAAAGGCAAGAAGAGCTGCAAAGGGATGAAGAGGGGTGTTTCTTCTTTTCTATGGCCGCCCTTTCTCATTCATCTGCTGATTTGGGGTCTCATCTGATTGAGCAGTTCAGTCTGTCGGCACGCCGGCAGCCGGTTATTGCTCACCACTGGATACCGTCTACTGACGCAGTTTGCCGAGAGCAGAGAGCAAGGCTGTGTCCTTCACGTAAACTTGAGAGAAGCGAAACAAAGGGTCGATTGGGTGTGTGGGAGCGGGTGTCCGTGTAATGACAAATATTGATTTATTGGTGAGTTATCAAACCGTTTATGTAGGTGTATGTCTATTGATCTAGCTATTTGTCCGCACATGTTAATGGACAGCTTGTTAAATGCGAGGACTGTTTGCTCAGTGAAAATGAGAGCACAAAAAACACAGAATAGATTTGACTGTTAATGTGGTCATTATTGAAAGGTGATGAGCAGCAGAGAGAGGGAGTGGGAGGGCAGAGTGAGGGAGTGACGGAGGGAGTGACAACAGAGAGAGAGAGAGAGAGAGAGAAGATGTGATTAGAGCGAGCACTACTCCCTCTCTTCTCTTTCCTCTCTTCTTTCCTCTTCACCAGTTTTCAAGTATAAAAAACATTATTCATTAGTTACAGCCTCTCAGTTACAGACCTTGTGTATGTGTGTGTTCCCTTGTGAATGTGAGCCCATTCATAGAGGATCCACATCTGACAGTGTCTCTGTAGTGCCTGTGTGTAACACTGAATGACAGAGAGAGAGAGAGAGAGAGAGAGAGAGAGAGAGAGAGAGAGAGAGAGTGCGGACAGACTCATAGGGAAGATCCCAGGGGCAACAGATCTGGTTTGCTCGGCTGGAAACACCAAACAGTACGGGATGGATTTCTGCACGACGTGAACGCCTACGAGAAACACCTGCCTCGCATTTTAAAAAAAAAGGTCTGTAACTTTTGCTTTTCTCAACAATTTAATTCATGCTGCCGATGCTTTAGGCTGCTTTTTATGAAACCTTTCCAATTGAGTGCGAGACAGAACGGGAACGGAGTTAATCTGTTCTGTAAGAGCGGATTCCTGCTGAATACAAAGAGCCGTTATTCACCTCAAATGTATCCGTCTCTCGTCAGTTGCCGGCAACTTTATTCAGTGCGTTGTCTCTGCCCGCAGAGCAGTCGTGAGAGAACAAACACTGTTTCAGACAGATCGGGAGGAGGACGGAAAAAGGAGACAAAACGTGAAGATGAAATAGCAAAATGTAGGAAGAAAAATAAATGAATGTTCCATGAGACTTGTAGGAAAAGATAATAGTAGGGGGGGGGAAGAATTCATGTATACATTCATTCACCAACTTGGTAAATAAGCGGGCTTCCTATGTGACAGTTGAGAGAAAGAGGGAAGGAGTGAGTAATGAGTGAAGCAATTGTACCCAAAGATTCGGGGGGAAAAAGAGCAGGACATGAAAAAAAGTGTACTTTCAGTGCAATGAGAACAAGAGCAGAGTTTGTTTGTGTTTGAAATGAAGTATGATTCACCCTGTCCATCATAATAAACACAGACACACAAGAGCAGATGTAAAGTATTGGCAACTGCACTACGAATTATCAGGAGTAATTAACAGATATGAGAAGAACGAGGTGTAAAAATACACTTCACCACAGGGATGAACACACACACACACACACACACACACACACACACACACACACACACACACACTCAGACATCAAAGCAAAAGAGCTCATTATCTACACTGGCCACTGACCAAAATATCTTCCAATACTTCCTATTCGGAATGATCTCCGTTTCTCTGGTTTCAACTCAAGTTATCTTTCTGTCGATTGTAACAAGCCCTTCGTAGCACCTTTAAGATCTCATTACAATTTAGGTTTTCTGAAATACTCACTTTTATCCACTGAATATCTGAGCGAATCTGGTAACAGTTGAACAGTGCAGATTGACCCCTGGCGAAGCTTTCGAGTGCACTCAGGTGCGCTGTGAGATTTTATCATTCAAATATAAACGCAATGAATAAAAACATTAGGCCCGAGTTTATTGTTTTGAGGACTCATTCGAATTCCACCTGTTTTTCTAAATTTTGAGGCTTGCCCGTCATTTATTGGCACACGTTACTTGTGTTTATACTTGCACACAGTCTTTTAAGTTTAAGTTCATTTTAAAGTTAAATACTCAAACAATTGAAAACAGATTGTTTGGCGTCTTGTGGGGAAATGGTGGAGGGCCACTGACGCATATTAAAACATAACTTTCTTCATACTTTCATCATCCCTGCATATCTCTGACCCCTAAGTGGGTTATCTGTGGTATTTGGGGATGCAGAGGCGATTTGGAATTCAAGCGGTTGAGCCTCGGGTCTGTTTTCAGCTGATCTGGCTCAGAATATGAAACATAAAACATGTTTGAAATTCAGGCTGCTTTTATCTCTTGGCAATCTGTTGTTTGAGCTGGAACAGTGTGTGTATGCCTGTGCATACCGTATGTGTGTGTATCGTTCCTATTTTCACATATATACGCATGTATGTGAATTAATATGGCATTTCTGCTATTGGTTCAGCTTGTTTTTGTCTTTTCAGGCATGAATACAGTATAAGAAAATATGCGCAAACATACATGCACACACACACACGCACACAGGCACAAAAGAATATGGCTGAAATGCCATGACATTTGCCACACATGGGTCTTGTCCATTATTCATGACGTGAGGAGCTAATACCAGAACTGAACAGACAACATACTGTGTTTATCTTGGGGGTTAAGGATTTCGTCGATATTTGCATATATGCTGCGTGCATGGACTGTAACACTTCCAGTAATGGCTAGGGCTATTTCCTGTAGCCGAAAGAGATGTCTAGGTTTTAAAAACAATAGAGAGTCCAAGGCTCTGCTCGGCCCTGGATGGGTGAGCTATTGTGAATATAAACAAGCCTTGTGCAAAACTGATACTTTTTATAAACAATTAAATTAAATCTCTGAAAACAAACAATAATTGCTATGTTTTATGATATTATTGTCATTAAAGCAATAGATCAAGAACACCTTTAGAGCATAAAACTGTAGAGCAAACGTCATCATTTAGTTAAACAAATGTCTGGCAGTCTTAAAACCCAATATGCACGTAAAAAAATACACACTGTAGAAAAGACTTCAAACAAATAGCCTACACCCAGGAAGATAAAACTGTGCAAAATACAGAAGAGCACAGGATCGTTACGTGGTCAGAACTCATCAGACAAGACCAATTGTAGCAAATATGCACTCACTAAACGCTGACAGTGAGGAAGATTATAAGGAGATGATGAGAAAATGTGAGGAACAGATTGAGAAAGTGGAGCAGAGGAAGCTTCACGGCACAATGTCTCAGGAGGAGTTCTGCTGAACATACTCCACCGACAGAGGAGGAGACTGTTTGGGGAGTGACTTGGAGAGGCTGTGCAGCTCAGGAAGGAGATTGATCAGGACAAAAGGGAGCTTTGGGAGACAAAGCTTACTTTCTATAGATACAGACGGGTGGGGGGGGGGGGGACAAAACACATGCTCAAGTCAAGACCGAACAAGCAAAGGCGGAGCGGAGTGAGAAGAAAGCTGTGGAACACATGAAGAGAAATTTGCTCAAAGCAGCTCGGTTTGAAGAGTGTGCAGTAGAGATATCCAAGGCTATACAAAAAAAAAAAAAAGCTCTTGATGTAGCCGAGAGGGTGATGCTGACAGAAAAAAAACTGAAATGTATAAATCAGGAATAAAACGTCACTGCTGGCAGTGGAATGGAAGAGCATTTTTTCCTACGAGCCGTTGATGGGCTCCAGGCTGAAAAGCAGAACAGTCTCAAAATGCCTGAACTCCACATGGCCCTGTTGAGTTGTTAAAGGAGGACCGAGACGCAGGTCAAGTCAAAGAATGAGCGGCTCTTGTGCGACTTTTGAAGACCGGACAGACTATTGCTCCTTGCCTCTCAGAGGAGCAGCAGCTTCCATTATCCTGAACCAGCAGTCCAACAGAGAAAAGGCCATATCGGCTCAGAGGGAAGGGTATGAAGATCACACCTGAGTGCATTTCAGACTAAGCAAGGCTCCTTTCCTCAGTGAGAGGGAGAATGACAGCGAGAAGAGCATGTGGCGGCTGTGCATGGTGTCTGTTAAACTATTAAAAACTGTGGCAAGATCAATTTACACTGAAACATAATGGCATAAACTGACTTTTTTTACATTTTTATCTGAACTCAAGGGTTTTCCATACCAAATAAAGTTGCAACGCTTCCTTTTGCCTCATACTGGGTTTGCACATTTGGTAAATGTTCATGTTTAGAAGCGATCCTAAAGTAATGTGGTATCACGCTGTATGTTTGTTTGAGCTGTTAAAGAAGACCCGAGGGCTGACTGAATCCAGCTGAAAGAGTAGCAACCAAAGCATCTGGACCGTAATGTTACGGTCCAGACACTAAAGGCCGACATGTAGGCATACCTCTAAAAGATGATGCCCTCGCACTCTGGATTGATGCCACCACTTGAGGGCAGAACCATTACATTTGACTTCTCAACAGGTAGGCATGGCGCAGCACTACAGCAATCATGGATGCCATCCCGCCTACTAGCTGCAAAAACTTCTGGAAAACGCAGTTTGCGTCCCAACTGAAACTGAGCGAGCTTGGACTCTGGAGAAGGAGCATATTTCCGATGTCCAGCACGTCATCATCATCATCATGGTGAGCGGCCAGCCTCCATGTGGCCTGCCCAGCTACCAGCTGGAACTTCGACCAAAAGTTCTTCACCGGCAGACTCAGGCGGAGCCGGATCCCTGGCCTCAGAGGAGAGAGGATCATGCTGTAGCTTCTCCGATTATTAGTTATGAAAGCTTGACTTTTTATAACCGCGGTTAGAGCGAAATCGGTTCATCCCAACATCCCTGCTGCTAGCACATCAGAGGCTCTGGCTGCTGCCCCTGTACCCTCCACAAGCGCTTCTCATTTACCCTTCAGTTTTAGCTTGACTACCTTTTAGTTTTGTAAATATTGGCTATGGTGAGAAGTCTCACTTGATTAGGTTTCAACAAGTAAGTTCATCCAATGAAAAGAAATGTTATGGAGGTGATCCAAACAACCCATACACACAGCGATAAGATGGAGAGGCTTGACGGCACAATGACAGGAGCTTGCATCTGATCGTGATTCTGACAACCTCCCAGTTGCTAGCTGTCATTTTGCCAGATTTTGTGCCATCTGGCGAGCGACTGGAACCAGCTACGTTCGGTCTACGAGTGCGCTTCTCTAGCTGCCTTCTGCCCAAGTTGCCCAACTGTTATTTCTACCAGCTGACATGTGGCTGTGTTGCTCAGCAGTAAATACCAAATGCAGAAGATTGCCGACCATTTGGAGACAAGAATAAACTCAGCTCCAACACGTCTTCCTATCTCAACTGCATAAATAGCCAAGACGTTTTCAACATATCTATAATTTTTCTCGATAGTGATACATCACTTTTCCAATTAGTCCCTGGTGTTCTCTGTATTGCGCTTGTAGCTATTTCTAAGAAAAATAACTACCGGTGTCCATTTATTAACGTAGGTGTGTGTGTGTGTGTGTGTGTGTCTGACCTCTTCAGCCTCAGTGGGACTGCATGGCTTGGCCTCTTAAAGTAGATTAGCTTGAAAAAGAACTCACCATACCCCGTTGCCTGGATACAAAAAGCATCATTAAGCCCAATTATCAGCCACTTCAGCCGACAATGAACGAGCTTCATCACAGATTTGAAAACAACATATGATTAACGACAGCCACCTATACAGAAAATGGTGGTGGAGTAGAAGAAATTAGAGTAGAGAGATGGAGGATGAGCGAGCGGGCGGGGGTTCAGTGTCATGTTCGTGGAAATGACTCATGATGGACACATTTTCAGCTGAAATTACAAAATTAGTAAAATTTTAGGTTGAAATTGGAGTTAATTTGTGGGTCCCCCCACACACACACACACTATCAGCAATTACAAAGAAACATATTGTTAATAATCCTGAAATAAAGATGGTCAAATAATTTTAGGAATATCAGGAAATTATTTCAGGAATATTTTACAATATGAATATTTTTTTCTCCTTTTCCAATGGATTGAGAAAGAGTGACCTAATCAAGCCCCTCATGGTTTTCTGCACCTCTCCATCACAATTTCTGAACCTTATGTACGTATATATCAATTTGTATTTTGAATGTGTTATCAAACAAACTAACTAATTAAATAAATTAAACTGATGATTGAGGATGGCGAGAAAATGATAAATCGCAGCAGAAGGAGGGAATAGCAATGCATGTGCAGTGAATATCAATACTCATTGGTTTTTCATTGGGCTGGGAAGACCACTGGGAGTATTTGATAAAGAAAACAGAGTTGGGGCAAGAGAGCATGCAATCAGTCACAGAAAGAGAGCGGCCCGACTCTTCCTCCCTCATTATGCTGTGGATCTCCCTGAAGGTACAGCGGGCCGTAAATTAAAGAGAGCTCCTGTCAACTGTATCATCCAGAGAGACACAAACGGAGAGAATAAAAGCGAGTAAATGAGTTCAGAAGGAAGGAGTTTGGGCACAGAGTGGCTTGCTTAAGCTTCAAAAGCGACACTGCTCAATTGGAGATTAAGAAAAGTTGTGTACCAACAAGTGTTACAGGCTCAAAATGAACTGCTGGCAAAGCCTATTACTGACAATAGAAAAGTCATATCTTCATCTAGCTGTTGACTATGAATGGGGCTAGAATATATTCAAGTCTTGCAATAAAGGTCTCACAATACTTCACTGTACAGGGTTAGTACTGTAGTGTCTACACTGCATCCACCATCAATAACATGTTCTCTACCAAAGAACAAAAACTACATTAAATACAATAAACATAGTTTCACACCTGCATGCTCCACACAATTCTCAACTGTTTTATGGGTAAAAGAAGTTAATGTGGACCAACCCTCGTGTTATTGTCTGATGTTATTCTATAGTTTATTAATGTGATCTACAAATACTTTTTCATGTTATAAGAGTGTGTTGAATTTAGGAACTATTTAAGCTATTTGGCTGCAGTTAGCATTGCTAATCGCTGATGCTTCCAACACATACACCTATCTAAGGCCTTGCAGGTAAACTCCACTTTGCAGGGTTATTTCCGAAGAAATGCTTATAGCGTTCACAAACGTTTATACTGTATTTTGCCACAGTAACAGTCCAATTGTAGCTCACTTACCTGTGCAAAACGTACAGTTTGTATGCCAAAAGTCTGCAATGCAGGCATTCACTCAACAGGAGTGCGGTAAACTATCGCTTTATTGTGAAGGACCAGGCTGTGGCTTTATTGTGAAGGACCAGGCTGTGCTGCGACTTTGAGCTATGGACGCCCTCTGCTCAACTTTATACATAACAATAAAAGTAACAAATGTCCACATTGAAATAGGGGGGTTTCTACTAGCATTCCCTATTTTCTAAACTAGCTTCCCCGTGGAAACAATGGTCTATTAACTCTGCCACACATGCAGCCACTGCCTCTCAAAGGCTCACGGTAACGTTATATAGTTCAGGTGACTCTCGTGAATATAATGTGGCGAGGGACACATATCGTATGGCGAAATGCATGAAGCATGAAACGGAGGGGAGAGAGGAGAGAGGGGAGAAACGAGCACACACGCACACACACACACACACACACACACACACACAACTCTGAGGTAAAGAGCGCCCCTGCTTTCATTCTGGTCATGGTCAATCATTCCTCCCTTTGAAGTGTCTTTCTCCGATCCAATCAAGACACAATGCTGGGCTAACCCAAATACAAAACAGCCTCCCTTTGCTCCCTGTCTCTCACCGACACAAAGACGTTTCTACTCTACAAAGCGCAATCACATCCGCCAGTCAGTTGTGCGCCTCGCAGTGATTTGCAGTGGAACATTATTAGCAGCATTAATATGCAGTGGAGGAGGGTATAGGCTCTCAGCTGTCTTTGTGAAAGCTGATTATGAGGAGTTTAATTTCATCAGATAAGAATGCCTTTCCATATACGCGGCTGCGGGCCCCAAGCCTGTGACAGACCTTTGATGAGGCAAGCACTCCCCCTGCTGTTACTCTTTATTATAGCCCGCTCAGTACACACACACACACACACACACACACACACCAGCGTTCATACTGTAGGAGTTTTGCAAATTTTTTGTGATTAGCCGGAAAATCATCCTTATACACACATGTTCACATTGCATCAACTTTTAGTGAGCAAGCAACAATTCTGCAAACCACACTGCAAAAAATCATATTGTGTTTATAGGTATAGTCTTTGTTTTTATGGGTGTTTCATACATATTTCATACATCATAACACAATACATTTGTATTGCACCTTTTTGCTTGTTTCTGCAAATACATGCACATTTCTTTCCAAGTTGCAGTTTAGCCCTAAAAACAAGTGTTTTTAGTTATTTATTTAGCAACTTATAGGCAGATGATAAGGTTATCCATCTAGAGCAATGTAATATATATATATATATATATATATATATATATATATATATGAAAGCTCTTTTGTCAGCAAGCATCTGCCGTGCTGAAGTGTCCTGGAGGGAGAAAATAAATCCGCGGCAGCTTCAGCAGACAAAAGAGAATTTCTTATAAAGGCCATATGAATTATAAATGTTGAAGTATCTTCACAATAGTTTCACAATAAATCTCACTCATCTCTCTTTTGCCCTCATGCAAATCCATGCAGGACATCAGCCAGGATGTCAGGGATGGACGTCTCGTCTGTGGACCATAATGAGACTGGAATCTCTCCATTGGGCGATGGGACCTTCCTCCGCTTCTCCCCAACCTCTGCTTCCACTTCCGCGGCCGCCTCGTCACCAGGACGTCAGGGCAACATTTATGTTTACGTGTGGCTCTTCCTCGGCCTGCTGGTGTTCCTGCTGACGCTGCTCATCATCTCCCTCCACAGGCTGAAGAACATCATCTCCTCCTCTTCATCTGTCCCTGACTGCAGCAGCGAGGGAGGGAGCTCCTTCACCAACATGGAGATCTGTAGCATCTCGTCTCATAGGTCCACCATCTCCTCCCTGTCCACCTGAGGGAGACACATGGGCATACTGTATTATGTCCATGTGCAACTCCTTGTGCATGTATTCATACACACAAAGCAGATGGAGGCCCAGCACCTACTCACTGTGACATATCAACACAAAAAACACTTTGTCAGGTGACAGCACGGCATTACACTCAACGCGTGCATCTTCTAATCCCGATGGTCCAGTGAGTCAGGTGTGTCCATTTCAATAAGCACAGGGTAAATAAAGCTCACATGGGATGAAGAGGTCTTGAGTGAGACTGACTGAATCTTTCTGAGCCTTAATTCAACCACGAAGAGAAACCGCTTTCTCTCAGCAGAAAAAAAGCTTAATGAGGAACTATTATCTTTCCTCTTCATTTTTGCAAAATACATTTCTTGCACTGTGCTTGTCATATTTACAGTGGAACAATAATGTTGCTTTCAGGTTTGCACAGCATGTCTCATAATGTCTGTAGACTACATTGCAAAATCAGAATTACATAAGTGTTACAGACCATTACTTTGTACAGAAATGCATGATTGTGTCTCAGTTCAGTCAGGCTTTGGGATGCTGTAACTCCTTTTTCTTTTTTTTTACCCTAATAAAAGGTGAGATACCTTAAAAACTGTACTCATGCCAAGTTGTTTTTAAAAGTCTCCGGGGGAAAGGACGATGCAGAAAACATCGTGCTGTGGATGTAAAGGTGAGTAAGAAATGAGTTTTGTGTCTCAGACGGGCAGTCGGCCTCGGACTTCAGCTACAGATCAGGTTAAAAGTGCCATAACAAGATGAAACTCTGGGCCTGTCAGACAGGTCTTCCAGCGTAACGGATTACCCTCTCTTGACTGTCAGCTCATATGGGGTCTGATCTCAGTCTCCATAGTGACTGAAGCGTGAGCGCTTTGTGCAGCTGTCGAGACTCGTTTGTATTCCAAGCTGAAGCTACAGTAATGGTCGTATCTAAGCAGGTTTTTTGTTTTAACACTGTGAGGTGTAGTTTCTTTGACGCGGCAATAAAAATACACCACACACAAATTATTAGAAATCATCTTTGTCACAACTTTTCCACAACATTCAATAACAACTGAAGGCTCAGAGAGCTAAGAGGCCACAAACAATTGGGTCAGGTCTGTTAATGTTTAGCTGTTGTTGAATCTGTATGCACACCGGTATATAGGTAATGATCTCTAGAACCTGTTTGGTTCAATGTAGAAAAAGATTCAAAGTTTGAAATTGTCTGTTTTTAAGTTAACCAGGAAGTAAAATCATTGTAATAGTCGTGATGATAAAGAATAACTGTACAGATTGAACACCTGATTGAGGTGTTTTGTCATATTGGAGCTCTTATTTTCAGTTCTAGTCCTGAAAACACAGAGACATAAAGAAGATTAAAACATTTTCCAACTTGGGTGACCTTTGTCTTTATACTTATTTGGATACTTGCCCGTTCCTTGCATGAGTTACTGTACTGTATACTGTACCTTGTGAGTGCAAATCTGACTTTTGTCCATGGGTTCAATGAATGCCACCAATGATTTCCTTCTATCTTACACATTGCACTTATTCTCTGCTTGTAGGGAATGTTTTCCTACTTTTGTCTCTCCTTGATTACCGAGTCTGCTGAATGAGATGCTTTTAAAATCCCGCTTTGAGTTTCTCAAGGGAACTTCAGTTAAGTTTCATGGATTTGATTCAAGCAAAGAGAGACAATGCAGAACCAGAGCCGGAAGAGGTGGAAGAGGCATGCAGCTAGTGCTGGAAATGGAACTTCATTAAACTAACATTTCTAAATCTGTAGGAAGTGGTGCAGAATATGACCCCCAGAAACAGACAGAAATGAAAAAAACAGCAAGGCAGGTAGTTCAACAATGTAGTAAATTGCGTTTGGATTGCAATATTTGAACTCAAGAGTCTCTTGAAATCATTTGATTCCTTTCATTCCTGTGTCTCATGACTGGTGAGTGCTACAATAACTCGTCCTTGATGTCTCGCTCTCTGTGCAGCGCTACTCTCTTGACGCAGAACGGAAACCTTTCAGTGAAACAAAATATGTGACCAATGAAAAGTCAAGTCATCAAATTCTTTGCATATTTTATTTTTCTTATCATGATTTTTTTTTTTTCAACTCACACATGTCGTATTTTACATCTTTGCAATAAAACATGAATACAATAGTTTTTAGGGTTTCATAGATCCAAAAATATTTAACCTTTTTTTGGATACGTAAGTTGAACCTGTCGATAGAGTATGTGCATGTGCGCATTTGATCAAGATGGCTTCACACATACAGTCCGTCTCACATTTCATCCCCTCTCCTCCTCCCTTCCCGCCTCTATCAGCTACAGAATCATGATATTGCTTACAACGGTGAGGTTGTAAAACCTAATAATCACACATGAGCTCAACGCTTTAAATACAAACATCAATGCACAAATAATCCCGAAGGGGAAATGGACCTAAACAAAATGGCAGCCGACCAGAAAGAACCAAGCTAATAAATAATGACGTGTGATTGGTGCAAAGTGCAAATACAAAACAAACTTTTACATTGATTTGATTCTCTTCTTTTAAATAATCAACAAATGTGGGTAAGTGAAGGTTTCCTTTGCGCTTTCAGTCATATTCAGCTGATTAAGTCTCCCACCAAGCTTGAATCAAGACTATATGTACATATTTGACAAAACAATCACCAAATATACAAAGGAAATCCCGTCAGTCTTGTGTTTGTCATCCTCGGTGGCACTGGCACAAGACTTCTTTATCATTACCATCTCTGGCAAAACAATCACCGTCCTTGACACTGCCGTTATTATCATCAGTCTCGTCAACATTATAATAATTATTACACAATATTTTACATACAGCAAGTCATTAATAAATTAAAGGTGATAAGCGCAGTTTGTGTAGTGAAAGAACACGCGTCGACTCTGAAGGAAGCAGAGCCTTATTTACATAAGAATCAGATTTAACCCCGCTGCGGGTCAAAGAAATGTTTTTTTAATTCACATTATAAAATCAAATCAAGTAAGATCAAATCAAATAAGATCAAATCAAATAAGATACAATCAAATAAAATTGTAACCCCAGGCAATTTTTCAAGTGTGAATTTTAAGATCAAGCCAATAGCACCGTTTTTTTCTTTTTAAAGCAGTGGGTGGGGCGGGATCATTTCTGACCATTTCTAATCAGTTTCGACACTTTGAAGAAGTCTTAATTTATAGTCCACCCAATAATTCCCAGACTAAACTCCCCCTCAAACGAAAAGCAAAAAACAATATTGATAAAGAAGAAATAAAAAGAGTATGAGGGAAAACAAAACTCAGTTCTTTGTCTGTGAAGCATTAAGCGTACCAGGAACAGTAACTGCACCGGTCCTGTGAGAGGTACGGGTATGATCGACCTCTACCAGGTCTGCTTGACTTGCTCTTTTTCCCCATTCTGCGGTCTATTTTATTTGCAGGTTTTGGTGTGTATCTTCGGGCTATTATGTGTCTGTGGCTACCCACGCGTGTACGTACACATATGCACAGAGGATGTTATTTCCACCAGCGCTGCCGCATCCTCAAATCAAGTAAACTTCAACAAGGGAATGGAGCCTAAGGTCCGGTACTTGTTATTCCTTCCTCTCGGTACCTTTAGTCTCCCCACGTTGCAGATACACAGCAGAATGCTTCACCTCCTCTCCCTCTTGTTCTTCTCTCCTCTCTCCATCCTCTTCCTCACGCTGTCCACCTCAGTACCTGTTCTGGTGTTCGTAGTGCCAGCGGTTGAAGTCTATGTTGAACGCCACAATGCTGCCAGACGCCATGCCAGTGATTAGAGTCCTGAGGGCAGAGCACACAGAACATCACATCTGCAAACCAAACTATACACATAAAATACTTCTTTTGTATTGTACATTTCCCTGGGCCTGGGACATCCTCTGAGATTTGGGTTACATAACAGCGCCATTGTTGCCTACAACAGTACTCTTTTCAAAAAAAGGTCACACTGTCTGCTTCTTCTCCTCTCTGTCCGAGTGGCACCCTGTCTGTTTTACCTCTGGTCATGGGAGAGGTCCATGGCACGGATGCCTGCGTCACAGCCTGGATAGATGTAAAGCTGTTTGAAGTCGCATGCCTGCCACACTTCCACAACTCCATTATCACCTCCTGTCACCAAGTTCTGTCCGTCGCTGCTCAACAGGATCGCCTGGAGGCGGAAAAAAAAAAGAGAGAGCAGTCAATGGAGGCTCAAGGGCTCCGGTGTGTTGTACAAATGTATATTGCATTGTTTATGAGTAAATATGGGTATAATTTAAGTATGTGGCGGCTGTGGCTCAGTAGGTCGTCCACTAATCAATCGGAAGATCGGCGGTCGATCCATGGCCTCGACACTCTGCATGTTGAAGTGCCCTTGGGCAAGATGCTAAACCTCAAACCCCGAGGCTAGCACATTGTATGAATGTCTGCATGTGAACGGGTTAATATTGATGTAGCGTAAAGCTCTTTGAGTGGTCGGAAGAGTCCAGTTACCATTTATTCATGCATGAATATACCACAAAGAATATTACAGTATTAACTCCGACAGCCTTACCCGTGTGGAATCGTTGACCTCCATTTGTGCCAGCAGTTTTCCATTTATGCTGAAGTTGCAGAAGCGGCCTCTCTCATAGTAGATGATGCAGTGGCCCTCGCTGGACACTGAGATGAGGCGAGGCCGCTGACACAGCTCTGGCCCCTCCAGGGCCCTAAGCAGGTCCCCTGTGATGGTGTGGACCAGGCACGGGCCCTCTGAGGAACGAGACCGAAGCAAGATAGAGAAGAATATTTTATTTTAGTTGCACATGTTAGCCCAAATGTTCTGAGGTCAGTTATCAATCTATTTGTTTTGAAATATCAGCTCAAATTCTGAAAACTTTGTGAAAAACATAAAATGCTACATTGTAATTCCTCTTAGGCACAGACATACGTATGAAGACACACAAACCTTTAGCCCCACTGATGACCAATCCTAGCTCTGCACAGACAGACACACACACCACCTCGTGGTCGTGTCCTGTAAGTACTGCCCTGGGAGCGGGATAGTCACCTGGAAGAAACAACTAAATTAGAGTCACCATAAACCTCTGGGAGCTGTTGTTTTGTTTTCTGAACTCATTTATGAACTAGGAACTGAGGCAAACATTCACACATGTTGTTTCCACCATGTCACCACTCACTGTTGTTAGGGTTGTCCCCAATAATGTGGTGTCGTCCACTCCAGTACCACAGAAGAAGAGTGGCATCCCTGGAGCCTGACACGATGTAGCAGTCTCCGCCGATGTAGGACTCTGATCTGGCCAGACACGTCACGACATCCCAGTGGCCAAAAACTATCTGGGTCAGTTTTCCTGTGGAGAGGAAGGAGGAAGATGCCGAAGTTAAACAAGCAGGTTAGTGACCAGGGTGTCACTAATATCTCTGGACCGATAAATACAGAAATGTACTGTATGCCGAGCAGCGTAAAAAAAAAAGAGTGTTAAATATCTAAATATCTCCTAGATTAACAAATCCAAACACAAATCTAAATAAAATTGCAAATGCATGACTCTTCATGATCCACTTTCAAACTAGGACCTCTGACAGAATCACAAATCACAGCGTTAATAAGGAGGGAAAAAAACAAACTGCAAGCTAAAAGTACATTTTTACTGTACTCAATGCTCAACGTGTCTCATTAACAACAGAAAACTTACCAGTTTCAGTGGAGTAAACACGGAAGCTCTTGTCCCAGAAGCCGCAGACCAGGATGTAGCGGTTGTCGGCAGTAACCACAAAACAGTGCGTGTTGATTTGGATGCTCTGGTCCACAAGGTCAGTGATCTGACGCTTGTTCACGCCTGAGTTGTTTGCTACATGGGAGGACAAAGATGTCAGTAGGTTAATAAGGGCATACGAAGGCAATATGGTTCACAAGCTACAAGCTAACTCCCAACCTTTCCTGATATTTCACCACTCAGTTAGTTTTGCAGCCTGCGTCTCTGCAATATATGCACATAAATGCCCACTGTATCATGAGATGTATTGACTTAAGTCCCATTACTTGTGTCCTTAATGTTAGCATAATGTAAAACTAATTAAATCTGCTGTGGAGATGTTTGTGCACTGACCTATAAGAGGGTCCATCTCAATGGGTAGATGATGAGCCTGCTCTAGGGAGTATCCTGGAGCTCCACGGAGGCCTGAAGGATATAAGGGTCAAACATTACAGAGAGTCACACATGCACACATCATAAAACGGAGGAGGATAAATACTCAACTGCAACCTCTCACATAATCCCCTGGTCGAGGGCTCTCTGATGAAAGCACTGATGCAGGCTTATGTAAAAAAAACAACTAAGAGCCTCAATAACAAAAGTCACTTGAGCTGCCTTATGACTCCATAATTACATTACCACAGTTCATTAAACCTACTCCACTGTGCTAATGAAGTTATTAAAGGTTAATTGAGGATTTGATTAACTAATATTTCCATGTCAACATGTGGATAAAATAAGATTAAACACTAATATAATACAATAATAATAATAAATTGGCTCTATAACTACCACTGAAATGAACTAACATCTCACTACAGGCTCCCACGGTCTTCATTTCATAGCTATTGACAATATTTTAATTATGTGATTGATATGAATATATTTCTGATTATTCCTTTAATTATTCATTCAATAAAATGTCACACAAATGTGAAAAATGCTCATTACAATTTCTCAGAGCCTAAAGTGATGTCGTTAAATTGCATTGGTCATGGAAGCAGCATGTGTTTGGTATTTTTCCTTGATAAATATGCTTTGTTCTTTCCAGATGATTATTTCTGTCATGCACTCACCGACTGTGTTGTGCCAGCGGTTGACGGCAAACAGCCGGCTACATGTGACGGTGACAGCTGCTGGTATGCTGAGGTGGGGAAGCGTGTTGGCTGCGACGTGAGTGACGGGGGAGTTGGAGGGGAACTTGAGCACCATGATGACGTCCTGCTGCATCTGATCCTTAAACATCAGTGGGCTCTGTGGAAGGAAACACTGGTGAGACAGACAGAGAAAGAGAGAGGGACAGAGAGGAAGAGGAGGGCAGAGCGGGGAGGGAAGGTTCGGGGGAGAGAGGAGGAGGGCAATGGAGACGGAGGTAGAGGGAGAGACAGAACAGATGTGACGGAGGGAGGGAAGGAAGGGAGACGGTAGATTAGTGGGAGCACAGGGTCAGAGCAGGTACACACACTGAGGGGGGCTCTAGGCCTAGAGGAGAGGAGGTGGAGGCACTGGTTGGCTCGGGGGTTCAGAGGACTGACAGGTTTGGGTTGACATGGATGGCTTTGATCTGAAGACACTGAGGCCTTGTTCTGCTGAGGGTAGCAGGGAGGACAGAGAGGCTAAAAGCAGGGCAGAACTTGCTTTAAGAAAAGCATAATTACATACACTTGTATGTAATAAAACCTCTAAATTGGTACATAGGGATAAGATGTGCTATGAATATGAAAAATAAACCTCAACCTGCCTCTACAAATGAGAGAGGTTGTGGATAAACTCTCTTCCTGTTCCCAAAGTGAACATTTTCTCAATAACAACCTCTCAATGGAATAACATTGACTTAGGGAACATGCAACAAATAGGTCTGTATATTTCTGTTGTGTTTTTCAGTAGGTCTGCAGCTGAGCTCGAATATGTGAGTTTATTTTTTTTAAAGCATATACGTCAAGGTATTCTCACCAGGTGCATAGCGGAGGAGCGAGGTGGGTGTGGCTCGATCAGCAGCTGGGAGGGGATCTGACCACACGCCTGAATCTGGCACTCAACCACCTACAGTCGGAGGAACAGAGACGGGGTTAACAGAGGAGAGGAAGAGGAATCATCTGGAAACTATTCATCTCAGAGCTTTACATTTTTCATCGATCGGATGCGACGACATGAGAAGACAGCACTCTCTATCACGGAGAATCACGGGAGATTTCTGCATGCATTGTCGATGTGTTGTCATAGACACCAACCTCACGTTGCGCAGCATCTGCATTGTCTAGGTTGATTGCTCCCTCATAGGACAAGAAGTTGAACACGTTGAGAGATCGTACTGCTTCTGGCCCTCGTTGCTTGTAGCCAAATATTAGATCGATCCACTGGTGAAGCTGGCACGACACAAACTCGCTCTCCAACGCCTGGTTGAAGTAACAGGTGCAGAGAGAGGAAGACAGAGGGTCAAGAATATGTTCAGTGTGTCTCGAGGAGACATAAACAGAAGGATCAAACTTTTCTTTTAGCTTTTTCATATTCGAGAAGAGACTTTGTCTCTCACCATCCGGTTAATGCGGACAAAGTCTTCAGGTTTCTTGGCCCAGGCGGGAAGCTCCACGTCACACGCAGAAACTCCATCATCACGCACCCCGAGCTCGTACTCATTGCTGTTAACGAACATCTCAGGCAAGTAGTAGAACTCTGGGATCAGCTCCTGATGGACGCGGCAGAAACACATTTTAAATTACAACAAAAGTATTACTATGCTGAAGTAAGTAGATTTTACAACACTCAATTTCTGACCCTTTAGGATGAGATCCAGGGCATTAGACAATATGTGAATGTCTTCACTCCTCATACATTTAGATCTCTTCAAATTAAAACTAGGTTTTTACCTACTTAGCTGAAAGAAACTACTTTCGGTGCTTCCTGTTATTGTGTTTTCAGTTGTTTGTCTCTATGCTTAAGTGGTTTGCACTAATCTTAACTTGTCGCTTCAGTAGGACGTTCCTTCAACCCATCAGGAATAGTTACCTTGACATCAGCCGTGTCCCTCTGGCAGTTCCTCCACGAGCAGCCGATGCCAGAGAAGGCTCTTTCCGGATTGTCGAACTTGTTATCGTTAGCGTTGAGGAAAAACGTTGTAAAGGGCTCCTGCAGACACACACATAGACAAATCCATTTAATACAGAAGCCTTGGGTCTCTGCCGTGTGCTCAAGCGGCTCTCTGAAGGCTAAAGTCTGTAAGTGTGTGAAGTTCAGCCGGTGCTTACTATTCTGAGCATCCACATCAGGGTTGAATGAGCAGTGGAGTACAGGGTTGTATAGTGGTGAGGAGGCGTGCTGTCGTCATCCCACGTCTCGTAGCGTTCTGCATAAAACGCTGCTCGCTTGGGATTCAGGGCACCGATTGGCTGGAGGAAACAAGAGAGAAATAATTGGTTTGATGACACAAAAAAAAAAATTATACATTGGTTTCAGAAAGCATGTCATATATTATTCTTTAAAACAGTCAACACATATCTGTAGGACGAGGGGAGGCAAGGAGGAATCCATGGTGTTATTACGTGGCTTCGATTTGACTTTTACCCTCTGTTTGGGTTTACAGCATCTTCTTTGTAGCATACGTGAAATTCATTGGAAAAAGTGCTGTATGTCAGAGGGCTCTAACCTTGGAGAGGTCTCTGAAGTTGCCAGGTAGAGTGAGGTCGAGCTCCTCTGAATCAAAGTTGGTCAAGACCCAGGGGAAGATGGGGTACTGGTTCAAATCATTATAAGTCCTCCCTGCAGAGACAAAAGATGGAAGGAAGAAGGAACAAAAAAAAACATTATTCCATTATAGCTGTGTCACAAGATGGTCCCATATGACAACAGCGTTAGTATTGTTCTGTGCATTACTACATTAGTTTGGGTTTTACACTGACACATTTTGGTGTGATCCCCCTGCTGGAGTCTGAGCTGAAAGACTTTCTGGTGAACCTGCATGATTACATCTGATTTCATGCGTAATCCGACCCGGTGGCAACGATGACAAACATTAAGAATAACTATACATATATATAGCCAATTCTCACTCTTATGGTCTTGTTTTCTAATGCTGGTGATATAAAGTCATCAGTATTAAATTGATAAACACATTTGAGTTTCATAACCGGTTAAAAGTTCCTCTCAGTAACTTTAATACATGCTACAATATGCGTACTGTAAACTGCAACATAAAAACTTTTGCTATCAATTTTCCGGCTTCAAAACCTCCACGCCTCACAAAGAAGGCTGAAACGTTTAATTAATGAGACTAACTTCTTGATGCGAGCAAAGATTAAGTGCTAGACTGGTGTTACAATTACACGGACCAAGGTTTTATGTTCGTGTGATAAAAGACATTCCCAACAGGGAGAGGCGTAAAAGCACAGGCTGTTGACAAACTGCTACATGTCAAGCATATGTTTAGGTTATCAGTGGTTGCCATTCATCTACAGCAGATGTGTATTTGAAGCTCCTTCTGTGTTTCTATTACATACATATATCAAAATATATTGTGACATATTGTTTTATTTAGCTGCAGTAACTATTTTCAATTCCTTACCAACTGGTCGATTGTCATTATGGCTGCTTTAATGTATTAACAGGTCACACAGGTGACTGTTGTTATGCAAACTGCAGCTACAGAAGGTTTATCTTATTCAAATCCTCCAGGTTCTTTATTTGGTCTCTTCAATGAAGTACTTTTATACATTGGCTTATCTATTCATGCACATGGAGAGAAATGTCTGGCTGTGCAGTTATTTTTGAACAACAGAGAACAACAAGAACCGTCAGAGCAACCAGATGAGGTTACATTAGTAAAATCATCACAGGAAATGTCAACATCACAACGGTGGAAAGAGAGACAATGAAGGAAACAGGAAGCATTCTCTCAAATGATTATATGGTTTGGTCTGAGAACAAAGATGGCTATATTAGACTAACTGTTCATATATTGTTTAGAGGCTAAGATCCACAATAACGTCCTGAAATGTGATTGAATGTGGACTTTACCTGCAATCGTGTTGAGGAACATGAGGTACTCAAAGTTGGAGATTTCTCTCCTCTGCCAGCGCTGCGTCATGTTGGATGACTTGAAGAGCTGACGAGGGGTGGCCAAGGAAATCCGCCTGGGACACACACACACACATTGAAGTTCCTTTCTATCACACCGGGAATAAATACCTCTCTAATACACCATAGTGGAGGACCAGCTGATTATACCCTGCACCTACCTGGCCTGTGGCAGGCCGTAACTCGTTCCAACACCAACCCGTGGGAGACTGTAGACCACCCGTTTGACTGTGCCCTGGTCAGGGAAGTTAAACATCACAGACGCTGGAGAGAGGAGGAGACAAGGTATAGTCAATAGATATAATCACTCACCATGACAACTACTGTTGAACAGCGTATACAATACTTCAAAGTGGTGACATTAGTATGGGTGGCTGCAATGCAATATAAGACGAGAGCCCAGGCAGTGTTAGTGCTCTTCATCTGCACTGTAGCAGACAGAAGGACAGAATCACTGTAATAATACTTAGGATAGCAGTGATGCTATTCTAATGTTCTTCATTATATGTTTTACGCAATACTTATTGCTATGAGACACATTTCAAACACCAATTGGATATCTATTTCTAAAAATGTTTTACCATTTTTCTAGATATTTTATTTATGCCAATAAGAAAACTGCAGACTTACTTCTGTTGGCCATGAAGACCTCGAGTCCGGTATTCTGCAGCAGGTAGCGTCTGGAGAACACGGCTCGGATCTCACTGAACATCCATTTACCATGCAGACCCTCTGAGTAGGCCAGTACCTGTTGAGGTTCGACATCCATTGAAAAAGACATTTTAACATAAAGACATACCTACAAATGAATCCCAAATGAATTGGATCAATGAGTGAAAAGCACACAGTAAAAAAACTTTTTTTCTGTAATACAGGACGACAGCTTGACTTACTTTAGCGTCAGTCGTCTTGAATGTAGGGTCCTCTTCATCCACCTCAAAGTAGATCTCAGTAGTAGTGATGGACAGAGTGCCTCGAGCCACCACCACTGGAGCCACCAACTGAGCTGGAGTACTCAGAACCACTGGGCCTGGGGAGACATATGTATTTTACTACAGGCTCACGGTACACAACAGCAATCATCACACACAACAGACAATTAATAAGCACACGTTCTGTAGAAGAGTAATTTCATGTTAGTTAACTTGATTATTTATTTGCTTCTTCTACTTTACGTATTATTGTAAACAAACCACCAGGTGGGTCAGAAGTCAGAGAGGAACCACTGGATTAAATAAAGTGTTTGCATCAGTTTTTAGTAAATTATGATTTATTTTTCTTGAGTCAGATAAATCAGCTGGATGGTTAGTGCAGCTGCAGAACTTTCAAATGACTTGCCTTTGGAGGTAAAAAGTCTTGGACGGAAACGTACTAAAAACAAGAGTCATAGACAGTTTACTGTTCATTTGTACTGTAGCATGGTGACTGTGTGTGTGTGTGTGTGTGTGTCTTTATGCGAGTGCATCTTACCAGCAAGGTTATCGATCTCTTTTTCCTGCAGCAGGCTGACAGCGTCATCGTCTCCCTCCAGCATTAACTCCGCCTCTGGGTTCTGCGTGACCACTGATTGGCTGCGGAAAGTTTTCTTCGACTTAAGCCCCTCCTCGTCTTCTTCTGAACCTGTTTTGAGTGTGTTTGTAATTGTGTATGTAAGGATTGAGTGTATGCAAAAAGAAGATCAAGTACACTATGTTTACATTCGTACACATTACTGACCGTATTCCTCCAGAGCTTTGAGTGACACATCGGCGTGAGTGGATCCAGAGGCATTTCGCACAAATCTCCGTCTCCTCCTCAGGTCGTCCTCCCAGTAGTCTAGACGCCAGAAGTCATGTAATTGGCTGAAGACATGAAAGAAAAGGAACACAGACGAGTAATTTCATTAGTGGGGGGGCAAACAAGGTGTGCATTTTGGGACTTTTCCCTCAAGGACAATAAAGTTTGAGTTGAAGCTGAAGTTGAAATCGAGTACAGTGAAAAAAGATTCCACTTTATTGGGTTAAAGGGTGGTAATTGAACTCTGCAAACACAAATAAATGGCTTAAAGTAAATAAAAAAATAAAATCGAAATCGCCCCTTTTGTAGTTTGTGTCGCAATGGTAAAGGTAGGGTAATGCATTAGCTGACAAGGAAACTATTAAAGAAGGAAGGGTCATTGCGTCATCGTGACAGCATTATAATTTTGCATTGGTACCATTCTTTGGTGCCAGTTCTATTAAAGTGAATGGGGCGAGCATGGCCTGTCCCAGTGTAACCCACCATATCCGTGTTGTTTCACCTCTGACTGAAAAAGAACACAACACATTATGTGATGTTTTTTTAATCTAAATGTTGTTTTCCTCGTTATTGGATCCAAACAGATCACGGCTCTGTCCTGCAGCTACATAGAGCTCAACTCAAGATATTACATGATCATGTTACATGACCAATCTATTATCGCTGACCAGACTGCAAATATAACCTGACAAATGTATTAATGGCTCTGATTACAACTGTCTGGACTTAACGACAGGGTCCGTCAGAGGAAGGTATTCTTAATTAGCACTCGATCGTATGCTAATGCCTTCAATTTCATGCAAGTCATCAATATGATTAACTAGCACACACATAGGTCATGACAGCAATTACGCTAGAGAGGCTGTAACATTCACCAACACCGCAGCGGCCCCGTCTGTTTCTTTTACACCTTCACAATGATCATTTCTTACCAATGTTAACTGTTTTATCTCCAAATGAATGCAGATATTGTTGGCCAACGTTAGCTAAACCCAGATTTATGCATATAAAATTTGGCGATTGGCGCCACCTCCTTACAATAAAATGAAATATTATTGAGAGCTGACTAACGCCAGGAAGTAAACTTGGACCAAAGCTGTTCTCGTAGCAACACAATGGCAATAAAAAGATCTATAGAGCCACGGTGATTTATGAAGAAAACTGATGAAAAGCCAGGTTTAGACAAGCAAGTGTGGTTGAGATTATTAATGAGAATTATATGCGAATGTACACAAAAGTTAAAAATATAATCGAGGCCAGAGCACTTCAGATGCAATTAAACTTTCTTTTTTTCATCCGAATGCAAAAGGTGTTTATCAAAAGCATACACGTTGTGCCAAACAATTTACTTTATCAACAGTGACATGAAGAAGTCAGGCTTCAGATGCCGCATGTCACATGCTCTCAAATTAAATCACATGTCCTTCCCAAATCTGGTGACAGATCTGGATAACAAGCAATGATTGATTTACTGTGTGTCTGTGAGTGCACTAAATAAGGAGATCAGTCCTACACAGCTACTAGGCAGCAACGGTGTTAGGATTCAGCTGTCTCTGTGTGCTGAAGTCGATGTGCGATAAATTATGTTAAATAAGACCTGATTGCTTCATGAAGCCTGCTTTACACGGAACATGTCATGTTTTATAAAAGTCTATATTGCAGCACTGATCATTCCCACGATGTGGATATGAAATAAGATTGTCTCAGTCTGTGATGTGAAGCTGATGCTACTCTACTGGGTTCATGAATTTATGGTGTAAATGATCCTACTTTTACACAAATACAGGAATAATTTACAGTGGTGATGTGTTATAGTGATGGACGGTGCTCGCTTAATAATCCCTATACATACTGATGACATTGTCTCATTATATGCAAGAAGTGCTCCATGTGCACTCAGCCGGCGTAGCGTCTGCTGTCAAATGACATCCCGAGGAACAACAATCTCTAAAATGTCCCAGACCATAATTTGACATGAAGTTCCACGCATCTCCCCCTCACCTCTGTGACATTGTCCCCCACGCTCCGTGCTTATTGGTCAGGATGTTGAGGATCTTCTGTTTCAGCTGGTTTGCGGTTACATGATCTCTGTGCTTGGCGGCGCTGATGAGGTGATCGCACATTCTCTCCTCCTCTCTCCGGTCCGCAGCGTACTGGGCGCAGTTAGACTGCAGGAGAGTGGGAGGTAAAATCCGTGACAACGATGAGCGTTACACGTTAAGACACTTCATGTGACTGTTTACCTGCAGGCACATATCATCATATGTATCACATGTATCATGTCGTTACCTCAAATTCGGCATGTTTGTGTACATCCTCTGCCCTCTGTCTGTTCAGGATGAACTCAGCTTCATTGGCAACACGAACAATATGATCCTTCATGGCGTGGCACAGAAGTCTGGTGAGGGATTGAAGAGAGCGACAAACATGACAGGCAATAGAAACACCTCCAGTTACAAAAAAAATCTAATTCTCAACGGAATGTAAGCAAGGTTCCATCAATGTGGCAACCTTTTCTAAATGACACCAATAAGACTTGTCCATCTGCTGCTGAAGCTGACGTATGTATGGGTAAACAGATGTTTTTAAATGTAGCTTCCTTTTTTTGGATGAATATTAATCTTTTTTGAGTTGTGCAACACAATTTGGAGTAAAACAGGCACTGTGATTATACCTGGACAAATTAAAATGTACACTTATATGCACTGTAGTGATTTGACTTCCTACTAAACTCACATGTCTCTATCAGACCCATCACCTGTAGTTGCTAAGCGCTGATAACAGTGTTGTTGTTAATGTGTAAATCACTTTACCTTCCCTCGTTGATGAGCTCAATGAAGGCCAGTCCAGCGTTCTTTTGAATAGAGTTTTGCCACTCCTAAGTGTAGAGGATGCATCAGAATTAATATGGTGGGGGGTATGGGTGTGTCATATGGAACTGAGACTTCCTCACAAAAATTCTGTGAATTCAATATTGCCACAAAGCAATCCTGCTTATCATTTTGCAACATGAAATGAATGAAAACTGTGTATGGTTACCAGAGCTATGTGGGTATACACGATATATTAAAATCCCTTTGTCAACGGTTTCACAATATATTTATAAGAGGAAATATATATTCCCATCATATACCAACATTATTGTAAAGGTACATTAGCACAAAACTGCAAAGAATAAGGAAGAAGAAACATCTTAAGAGCTTTCTAATGCACCCGTCCGCCTAAGAGGACGTGTTTAATGTGTCTGTGCATATTAGAGGGGAGACTTCTGAGCAGGATGAGAGTGTTGCTGAAAGCCTCAAAATATCAGAGCTCCATTAGCTCCACTAGCTCTCAAGGACATGTGGGACCATCTCAGGTTACACCCGCCCCATCTAGAGGATCGATATCTGGGCTAGGGTTTGCTCTCCTGGGCATCTAATGGAAGACAAGGCCAGAGCCAGGGGTAATACTATACATGCTGACGAGCAGCCGGGCAGGAGAGTGGAGGGGAGGAGAAAGGAGAGGGAGTGGTGAGAGGACGGGGCAGTGTGGAGAGTGGTAGAAGATGAAAGCAGTTTCCACTGAAATTGGACCAGTAAAGCAGTGATGCTATGGTAGATGATGAAGCAGTAAGAGAGTATAAAGTGGAGACCACAGTAGTCGAGTTGAAGAGAAAAAGGAAAGGACCGAGGGGCTCCTCTGAGGAGAAGAGCTCTTAGAGGCAGCCAACGAAACAGACTACAGTTGGGAGACCGACTTCATAATGTAAAAGAAAAAGAAGACTGGTCACCTGCGCCATCAGGGGAAAGCTTTGTAGTGGTAAGTACATCTCTGTTGTCACATTGTCTTTAAAGTGTTATTACGGAAAATAAAGGTACTGGCTTTGAATGGAAGTTAGATAAACGACCCCAAAAACATTAATTAAGCTGTGATGCTTATGTGATTTAGTTCTCATCAGTAAAATCGAGTCAGAAAAGTTTATGTGCATGTGATTGACATGGAAGAGTATTTTTGTGGCGTTGCTATTGGTGAGGGGAAACTATGGTGTGATGATAGCATATACAGAAAGTCAATATTATATTACATCTGCAATGTGCTCATTACATAGTCAACACTGCCTCGCAGGGCACGTCCATAACTCAATAGCTTCCCGTGTGCAGCCGACTCAGCCATTATCATGGGTCCAAAAACACAGGGAGGCTTTCAGAATGGGTTAGAAATGAGATAAATGAAGGATGACTTTGTCAGGCTCAGGCTTAGGAGCAAATTGGATCATATGTGTGAGGACGGTAAACAGAGAGTTAAGGGAGGAGAGGTGAAGGTTTACCAACCTGAGAACAGAGCAGCATTACGAGCTCCACCACAGACGTGCTAGACTTCATGCACACCAGACCTGCAGTACAGAGACATACAGCACAGTCAGGAGCCTCTCTTCCTTTTTCTCTGACACACACACACACACACACACACACACACACACACACACACACACTCACTGCCGCGAGACACAAAAATATCATCAAAGAATACACTGTAGTGTCAGTGGCTTCTGCTATTGTATACAGTAATCGTAGTCAGGTTTATAAAAAAAGCATGCCACAGAGAAGACAGGAACAAACAGTAGAGAGAAAGATGAGAAAGGAGAGAGTGGGGAAGGGAGGAGAGCGAGCAGGAGGAGAGGAGAGGGAAAGATCAACATTGAGACAGTGGATCACAAAAACAGGACACCAGGAAGCAGGTGGGCAGAGGGAGGAAGCATCACATTTAGTACAATCTGTAATACCAGTAGTATTAATACAATTAAATAATCTGATTTACGAGCGTCATTGCCTAGCTAGCTGTTTTGAAAATAGTAGTAATTACTGACTTCATACCTGCTTGACGGATGAGTGAAGCAGCCAACTCAAAGACACTCACCCACTCATTCACTCACTCTCAGCTAATCACACAGCAACACATCACTCTCGTCCGCTCACTTTCTCTCAAGTCTTTCTCATACACAAGGATCGCGGTGAGGGACAGTGAATGGGAAGACTCCACAGAGAGACGCCAGTTAGAAAAAAGGAGCCGTGTACAGCACCTGTACCTTCTATGAGCAGTTCCTGCCCATGGCTACCCAGCAGCGTCCTGGACAGGAAGGGAGCAAAATCCACAAAAATCTCCCTCAGCAGGGGCGCCACTTTCTCCAGAGCGCGCTCGAGCTTGGTGGTGATACTGTGGCGGAAATAAGTCAGAGAAAGATGAAGGGAATAGGAGTGAAGATAAGACAAAGCAACATACAGAAGAGCATGTGAGGAAAAACTCAGGGGATATACAGTAGGTGAGGAAGGGAGCGAGATAGAAATGAGTAGAGATAGGTGAGAAAACGGGAGGAGGGAAAGCACAGCACAAATTACACAGGAGAGGAGACGGGAGAAGGCAAGCTGAGAAGTAGAAAAATGTCTGAAATGAACACAGAAGGCACTTCAAATGTACAGAATTAAAGCGTATGTCATGATGGTTTGGTATGGAAGCACTATGCCTGGGTTAGTATAAGTAAGGAAAGGTTGATGGTTATATAGTTTTCAGGCTAATCGTTAATCAACTACATTGTTGGATGGGTGAAGCTGGAAGTGCAGTAAAAGCTAAAACGTCTAAAAAAGTGTCCTTACTTTAAAACTGCACTAGAAAAATATTGTATGAATTCTATCTTGACTTGCTACACATCTGCATGTAAGTGCCTTTGTTTGTGCACAAGTGTAGAGCACGGGCAGAGTAAAATACTTCTCTGATCTATGTTCAGTTAACAAATGGAGAAAGTAAGGCAAGAAGAGTATACAGCCAAGCAGACTAAGATATGGAGCCGTAGAAGCATGTAACTTCTGAAACAGACCTGGGTCACTGGGTTACAAATTCTTATTTTTGCTTCAAGCATGCTCAGAGTAGCAGATGGGTGACATTTGCAAAAAAGTACAACGAAGGTTAAAACAGGACTGCTATAATTTTGCAACAAGTGCTGCTACAAGTTATTTGCAAAGACCGTTTGACTCAGGTCTGATCTTGAGTTTGGGAGTTAGTGTGAGGAGACAGCCATGCCAGAAGTAAAACAAATATGATGCGATGCTAACTGTTGAAGCTGTAAGCAAAGATTGTCTGTCCTTCCTCCCATGGCATTCTGGGAACATTTAGTAGTGGATTGGGCGTAGCAGAGGGTGTGTGGTGGAGGTGGGGCAGAGGGGGGAGGGGTGGGGCATGGGGGGAGGACGGGTATCTCCTTGCCTAAAACACTGTCCTGCATCTCGGGGAGCTGCCTGGAAGCCTGCCAGAGAGCTAAAAGACTTGAGCTCAGGGGGCGTCTGACCGCTGCGCAGCGCACACTGCGCCACCTCACAATAGGCACTGCAATACAAACCACACACATACAGACACACACACTGATTAAAGAACACACACGCACGCACGCACCCTCTCACATGCGTGTGCACGTAACTAACTGCACACGTCATTACAAACTGTCTAACATGTCTAAGGAGAGAGAGCACATTGACAGAAATGTTACAGTACAAGCTGCTTCAAAGGAATTATGAATGATTTCTTATTGTAATGCTACTTCCTAATTATTAACATATAGCAGATCAACTTGTTCTTTGTTAGCGAGTGTCAGATGTCTATACAGGGTATGGAAACACAACTAAAACACAGGTTTATGTTTATGACAATCTCATTTACATGTTTTCAAAAAAAGTAATCCAGCGGGACGGCTGATATTTTCACACTCTACAGTATATTCTTATTGTGACGTTAAAACACAGTGTCATGTCAGGGATGAAGAGCACCATAGTGTAGACTGAGTGACATGTGTGGGTGGTATGCGTGCAGAAAATATGAATGTGACAGTTAGCACAGATAGAGTAGTTTTACTATCTTTCAGAAGAATATTATTATTATTCGTCGATATCAGCTTTAAAGAGCAATATTGGAATCAGTCCAATATCCTTTTCATGGCTGAGAGCTCAATGTGGAACTGCCATTTGTGTGATTTTTGATTTCCAGTAATTGTCACCCAGTACAACTGTCAAATTTGCAATTAAAGTTTTGTCTTTTGGTTTAAAATGTGGTTAATTAGTCTAACATGTCAGCATCTCCATTGTACCTGACATTCTCATGTAAAAGTGATTGTGATTAATTGAGGTATTGTTACCGTGGCCTCAAAAAGCATGTGGGTGCACCCCAGTTGTCCCCAATCTAACCCTGCTGTATAATATCAGTGATGACTGTGAGAGTGAGCTGCTTGTGAGAATACTTTGGGAATGATGAAGACCTAAGTGTGAAGTGAAAGAGGGACAGGAATGAAGTGGGAAAACGACAGGCACTCAAGAAAATGGACAAATCAACGTAAAAACCAAAAAAGCCAAAGGGAGGAAAAAAAAAAGAAGAGCGGCAGGAAAGTGAATGGTTGAAGCGATAAAGAGCTTTGTCATGTGTTAGAGCTCTGACCTCATATTCTCCATTGAGTCTTCTGGCATGGGTGCCACCGTCTGCACCGCTGGCAAATTCTTACTAGTCGCACCGTTTACAAACGACGAAGAGGAGGAGGAGGAAGAGGAGGCAGAGTCTGTGGCACCTAGACAGGACAGGAGAGAAGGGAGGGTGATGACAAATAAGACAAGCATTATTGTAACATGAATCAAGCGTGACCAAGATTATCGCGCAGGATAACAATAAACTAAATGTATGAATGTCCCGGTCAGTTGCGGCCAAATTCAATTTGGACGTGCTGCTGCTGCTGCTGCTTGTCCTCCGGTGATGGCCCCTGTTCGTGAAAATAGCTTTCTGATCAATATACAGAATCCACTCCGGGGAACAAATCCCTTCCTTCTCCATTATGCATGTATGATACAATGAATCTGCTAAGTACGACGCTGCATGGAAACAGCACTGATCTGCATCTCAGCTGATGTGTATTTCATTCTTGTCTTGTTCTCAATTTATTTTAATTTAATACCATATTTGTTTGATTGTTGCAGTATCAAATGCTTGAAGGGTACATTTGTCTGGCATCAGAGAGTTCACCGAATTCACTTTTTTTGTCAATGGCCAAGATATTTAACACTTGCTGTACGGTCTGCGACTTCATTGATCTGGAAATAGTCAACAACTAACCATGAAAACATGTGCCGGTAAAATTGGTTCAGTTTGTGTCTATTCTGGTTTGTTGTGGCTGTTAAAGAGTTTTCTTATGCCAGAAGTAACTCTCTGCTTCATGGAGCGGTCTTTGAATTGGCCTTTCACACAAACAACTTCGTCATACTGCGGGTGTCTGTCTGCTGCCTCTCCTTAAATGCACAGTAGATGCAAAAATGGGTAACAATATCCAAAGATATAGATTTAGACGTGGTGTGAACAGCATATGTGTTTTGTACTGTAAGTGAACTATATCTCTCACCTGTAGTGTTGATCATGCTCTTGGGTGTTGCGGTTGCAGATGCAAAAATGTTGGGTGTGCTGCCGGCAGCAGCTGCTCCGCTAGTAGTGGGCGTGCCCACCGTGTTGACTGACAGGCTGCCAGGTGGTGGCTTTTTGACTGGAACCATTACACTCCTGTAAGAGGTGGGACACAAATAAATACATACATATAAGCTTGGAACTATCTAAGGGAGTGTGGCCATACAGCAGCAATTGTTTAGAAGAACTAACAAATGCAGTTTGTTAGTAACTACGTATTTGCTATTCATTTCTATGAACCAGATGTATCACGCCTGTCTGCATGGGCTAGACAAATACATCCAGGGGACATCTGGGAAATGGATATGGAGCCATTGGTGATCTATTATGCACACTGTCTTCAATCAATAGCTTAGCTCTCAAGGACTGCCACAGAGCAGGATCAAGGAGACTAACTGATGCACAGAAGATACAAACAGGTCATTACTCAGTGGAGACTATATGTTAACACTTTTGGACAAGCGAGGAAAATTTCAACTTTGTTTATGTCATGTCATGTCCTATTACTTTATCATTTAGCAACAATACCTCTTTCCCTATAAGATTTTTAGACAGAGTCTAAAATCAGTCCATCAATGAGAAGTAATAATGACATCAACAGCGTCTTAGTCATGTTTTATTAATGTAGTCACTGCTCGTAAAAACATTGTTTTTCTGTTTTCAAATTGAATACTCAAAATAAACGTGTCTATCCACAAACATGTAGCGCTCAGTAAACGCAAGAAACTAACAAGTCTTTGTGCAAACTTCACATTTTATTTTTTCTTATCTGTGCATTTTTTGACTGCTGGCAAGTAAAGAACATTGTGTTTGTAAATGTTACCATCCAAAGGGGAAGGTCATTTTCTAAATGCTAATCAACTGATTGATTTCTGTGTCCATTGTTTTTTCAAAACTGATGATCAGCAATTTGACAAATAGCCGTACAGTAAAACGCATCACCACAAGATCAGTATTGGCTGGATAAATGGATTAATTGATGGATGTGTCAGGCTGCTAATGACTCCGATATCGCTGTTTGGTTGTCTGCCTCTCGTAGGTCAAACACTAACTGGGTCTAACCTGTCGAAGGAGTGGAACTGCATGGGCAGCATGGGGTGTGTCTTCAGGGCAGGGTCGGGGTGATAGGGCGTTGGCCCGGACTCCTGTCCCAAATCCCCACCATCAACTGGAGCCGCCACCAAGCTCTTCAGGATCTCCTGCATTTCAGAGAGAACAACCCATCTGGTGACTACAGGACACAAGTTGTGAGGAGTCCAACGGCATGACAAATCTCTGGCTGTTTTTTTTAACTTTCTTAACTGAATGTATATGCAGGGTTCATACAGCTTTTAAAGAGTAAAATACAAGCACTTCAAAAGTACCTAAACCAAAAATGTACAGACTCTTGAATTCTTTGTCTTCATATACAGTATATGTTGTTGCTATAAATGCAATTGCGAAAAATAAAGTTGATAGAATTCCTTTATACCCACAGCAATCAATGTATATTTGATATTTTATGTAATATGAGGACAGGATTGTTTCATTTCAAATATGAAAAACGTTTTGCTTTACATGAGTGATTGTGATGAAAATCAAACATTTTTCAATAACTATATTGAAATTCAAGCATATTCCTAACCTTGAAAAGAGAACTGTTCAAATTAAGCATTAATTCAAACTTTCAAGACTTTGTACGAACCCTGTATATGAGTAAGAACAGTGGGCATGTTTTCATGATACATAACTTTAGACTGTACAACCTCACTGAATGTTGCATTCCTGGAAAAACACTGACCCTATTCAGACCTGGCATTAAAATCTGTCTTCAGGTGATCAACCACACAGCTACAAATACAGATGTGGCTTGATCAATAAAACCATATTTGAAATTGTTCAAGGATACATGGGACATCAATTGGACCTGATGTATTGTCTCTGGATACAAACAGCCAGGTCTGAATGGGACACACACACACACACACACACACACACACACACACACACACACACACACACCAACCTTAACATTGATGCCTTTGTTTGTTTGGCTGATGCTGGAGATGGACGAAGGCGGGGCTTGGCTGTTGGGGTTGTGGGGAGAATCCAGAAGGCTCTCCTGTGACCTCCTAACATCAGACAGACTACACAACAGATCTGTGCCTCCTACCCCACCTCCTCCCCCCATGTCTCTGTCTCTATCTGTCTCTCTCCCCACCAGGCCAAGGCCGAGCCCCAGGCCCATCTCTGAGCCGTTCAGGGATCCGGCCACATGGCCCTCCTCCCCGATGCCTGAGTCTGTGTGGGGGAGGCAAGCCAGTGGAGAGTCGTCCACGGGGGTGGGGGTCTGTTTGTCACGGTCAGAGAAGGCTGTGGATGGGTGCTCTGGAACAAAATCACAAAACATAGTGTTTCTTTTTGTAAACTGCCTTGCCAAGAAATTCCACAAGATATTGTCTGTTTTTATTCATTCTTGGCTATTTTCTCCTGCTTGTAAGCTTCATTTCTCTGTCAAGTAATACCCATCTTTATTCTTCCTTCTATTTTACATCCTCTAATTGTCGCATATTCTTGACAAAGGTATTGTTGTTTTCACGATACAAATGCTGCAATGATGAGTCACCACCAACCCATCCAAGATTACGCTCTAATGTTGAGGATATTGCACAAAGAAAAACAAGAATCACCTGTACTGGTTGGGGAGTTTATCTCGTGGCGGATGCTTCTCCCTGATAGGCTGGTGGACCTGCCAATCTCTCGCTGGGGTTCCAAAATGTCCCGGTACTTCGATACCATGAGAACTGAGATAAAGTAGACGACTGCCAGCGCCAGAAACTGAGCCTGCTTACTGTCGTCCTACGGCACAATAACACACACACATTTATTCAGTGAAGACAACACACAAACAAAATAAACTTGTACGCACACAGTATACACTAAAAATACACACAAACACGTGCTTACCACATCTCTAAAAACCACAGCTCGAAGACGATTGATGTCTACATCCTGCAGGAGTCTGTCCGGATCTTGCTAAATATGGGAGACAGAATGTCAAATGTGGTGCGCTATGCATATATGCATGTTTCAGTGTCAGTTTTAAAGTGCTTTGTGCATTTGATTTGAGTGTGTGTGTGTGGTACCTTGCCGGTGGTGGAGGCACTGTGGAGGCTGTCCTGTGACTTGCTGCTGGTTAAGGAGGACTTGCAGCTTCGTTCTCTCTGTCTCTGCCTGCACTCCAGACAGTTCCTCACTGCCACACAGCACACTGATGGACGCAGAGAGATGAAACCTGTAAGTATTTCATACTGGAGCTGGCTTTTTTCATATAATAGCATTTATTCTAAGAAGAAACAAGTGGGTATAATCCTTGCAAATTATTTATTGGCTCCTTTGAGGTACTTTCGATGCAGCCCTACTTAAAAAAGTCCATGAAGCTGTTTGTGAGTCTAACGCCAAACTAAATACATCAAACTAGAACACACCCAGGCGGAGGCATTGCCTCATCAGCCCTCCTGACGACATGTTCTTCTCTGCTTCAATCTCGCTGAAGTTGAGAGAGCTGGCGAACACCAGTACGTCCACCATGGCCATGAGACGAGACAGGAAGGTGACCGCTGTCTCTGAAGACATGCCCTGTGTGGCCTCGATGTTCTCCAACTCCGTCTGGAAAAGGGAGGATAAGTACACACACGCTTGCCAGTTATTTATTGACACCATAGCATGTAAACACAATGAACTGGATGCTCTTTCCCTGCTTTTAGAAAGGTGGTGAGATACTGTAGTATCATCTTTTTTTCTTTTTTTTTTTTACATAAAAGCATCCTTCAGAAAAGGTATTATCATGTCTTACATGAGCATGACCACAACGGACATGGCTGGTTGTACCAACAAACAGGTAAAGCAACCTTGAGTATCATGCTGCTTAAGTGAAATACATACTTATATGATGAAATCTGACAACATGAGGTGTTCTACACAGCACACAGGAAGTACAGCCTGATGACACACAGGAAATGGTAACAGTGGGATCGTGACAGTAGCAGTGTACAGACTAACCTAATAAGCTCGCCTAGAACGTATCTCATGGAAAAGTAAACAAAATCCCCTTTTGTTGACACCAACCAAAGTATCAAATGTTCAGTATATCTACATTGACAGTAAATGTGAAGGCAGCAAAGCAGGGGTTAAAACTTGCAAACCAAGTGTGTGGTTTGCTGTGTCTCTGCTTCAGTAAGCAGGATGTGCAGGGCCGTGGAGAGTCGACAAAGTGCAAGCATCTGGAGGCTCGTCAGAGCAAGTCAGCACAGACATTTGGGGAATAACAGACACACAAGGTGAGGACAGAGGGACTTGGGTTGGTGCTCTTAGCTCTTCTGGTGATGGTGGGAGTCTTAGGTTCTTTACGCACCTCTCCCCCTGCGCCTCCTCCCCCAGGAACAGGGGTCACCTCCTCTCCCTTTGACCCCCTCTGGGGTACGGCTCCTCCTGCCTTCTTTAGTGTTGATACAAATGGGACAGGCTTAGCAGATGCAACCCCGAGGACTTCTGGAAAACTCTCATGCTTTTTCTCTCATAAATCATCTATTTTCACCTCTAAATAGACCTTCTCACTCTAATATTTTTCCGATTATCGATCCGGCCTTTTAACTTTTCTTTCCCCCTTATCTGTATAATATTCTAACCACTTTAGGATATTATACTAAATGTACGTCTCTATACAAAGTGTATCTAGTTCAGTATACCTAGTTCCTATAACTTTAAGAACTAGATACACTGAGACAGTGAGGTCAATAGATACAAACAGTATAAGGGGGAGTATTGATTAGCAGCAAAGAAGCACAACAAATAGAAACACTATGGATGCCAGACAAGCAAGGTTTAGTGTCAGTCACAATGGTAAATAAACCAGAACAAAGTATTAGTAGAATAGAAAGAGAGGAAGAAACTGCAACTTACAGTGTTGGCACTACTCTTAGAACTCTGCACAAATGCAAAAACAGACAAAAACAGAGACAAAAAAGACAAGAAAATACACAGAATACATGTAACACAGAGAGGAAAAGAAAAAAGGAAAGATGAATAAAGTAAATAGATTATCAAACTATCAAAGGAAATAGATTGTTAATTAAAGGATTAGAACAAACCTCAAATAAAGATTAAAATAGTGCGCAAGAAGTGTTAGATAGGCAGTTTAATGTAGATAGATGAGAGGAATTCAGAAAATAATAGTGAAAGTTTAATTAGTTTACTCATTTTTAAATTCAAGGCCAAACTAAACAGAACTTTTTGCAAGTATAAAATCAAACCTTTTAGATTTATTGGGCAAAAATAGATTTTTTGATCTGTTATGATTTTACTTTACTTACTTTAACAAATGATTTAACCTATTCAATCATGCAAGATAAACGCTGCCCTGCGCTCGGGGGGGGGGGATCAGATTCAGCAGGTTGTTAGAAGTCTGTATTTGGGTTTAAAGCCTGAGCTACAGGCCTATGAGGCAGCTGTTGACCTGCAGTTTTCCCTTCCACCACAGAGGTGCAGAGTAGAGCCACTTACAGAAGGGGAGGTGGCAGCAGACAGGAGAGGCAGGATGCCTCCACAGGCGATGATGATGTTGTCCACCATCTGAGAAATGAGGTGGATCGTGTTGTGGACAAAGATGATGTTCTCATTGCTGTTCACAAAATCCATAACCGACTTGGTGGAGTGGCTGAAATAGAAGATAAGAGTTGGACGGAACGATACAAAAATACAGTTTGGGACAAATTGAGACATCGTAGGTAACATGTCACTTTCTGAATATCCTCAGTCTAATTTCATTTTCAATACACGTGTGATCAATACAGAAGCCCTGAAAACCAGGCATGAGTGCGAGTAGTATTAGCTTATTAAGCTCACCTCCTCCACACATGCACGTCAGTCTCCAGGGCGAACAGCAGGTCAGTGAGCAACCTCTGGTGCATTGGAGACCACTTGAATTCTGGGATGCGGAACATGGTCGTACGCGGGCCGGGGCTGAACTGCCGGCGCTGCTCCTCCGTCATGGGCATGCCCCTGAAGCCCAGATCAACGCGTAGGTCCCGCTCCAGCTGGGCTGCTGTACGACCATGGAGGGCCTGCAACATGGTGGGGGCCAAGACCTGGTCAGCCAGCTTTCAGTACGTCTCTTACTTGTATACTAATATAAAACTTGGCATGCATGCAGTTATGAAATTAAATTTCATAAGAGAAACTACAGATGACTCTCTGGGACTTCGTGTTCTGTATTCCCCAATTTAGTAGAGAATTAGTTCATGTGTGGGCAGCCACTCTGCCAATCGATACACACACACAGCAATCTCATCGGGGCAGCGGTGGCCTTAAGGTTGGAGAAGAAGGCTTGTGTTCGGTTTCAGTTGAAAGTGAACAGAATGATGCAATATGTACTTTTGTTCTATTCTCTTTTCAACATCTTTTACTTGTTAGCTGACTATTAAAACCAGGTATCTTTATATTTTTTGATAAATAAACAAATACTCTTTTTACAATATGGGCAATAGCTGCGACCGTTGAGACCATTACAGTCTAGCAGTATGCACAGTTGCAGCCCACAATCAGGAACATTTGAATAACCTAGAAACTTACTTGCAGACTTGTGTGAACAAGATAAATCAGACACATGTACACACGTAAACACACCTGAGTGGTCGCAGTAGTTTGGATCTTCTTTGCGTCCTTGTCTTTCCCATCATCCGACCTCTCTGTATCAGAGGTGGTGCTGGCTGTGTCTCCCCCAGTCTTAAGCCCCGCAGCCTCTCCCTCTGCCCCGGATATGCCCTCTCCCTCTGGGTAATCTGCTCTCGATGTTCCCTGGATCTGGGCTTGGCTCTCGGCCTGAGCAATAGAGCTGATATCAGCAAGAGGGCTTTGGATCTTGAAGGGCCCGTCCTCTAGAAGTTCCCCAGAAGTGTGGCTCTGGGTCTGCGTTAGATCAGAGCCGCAACTCGTCATGTGGGCCAGCAGGCTAAGGTCATCACTGGCGCTGGTGGTGGAGTGAGCCGGGACTGGGCCGGATGGAGTGGGCTGGTCTGTACTCGGCAGTACAAGGGGGTCTGTGGCTGCCAGAGCTGGAAGCAGCTTCTCGTCAACCTGGAAGTGATGAATAGGGTAATCAAAAATTAAAGAACATTAAGGCATTAGAAAAAGTCTAAGATGGACAGAAAGCAGTAGACTGATTGTTGGTATTATACTTTAGGTCAGCATGGGAAGATGTGGCTCCACAGGTCAGACTTTAAGTAATCAGAGACAATAATCTTCTCATCCTACCTTGCTGAAGAGAAATCCGTTGTTGCTTGGGACGCTGTCCTTCTCGTCAGCCAATGTGATGAGCGGACCCATGTTCCCATCATCCTCCAGGCTGACTCCCGTAAGCCCCAGGCTTGACCCCATCCCAACCCCCGAGCCTGGCGTGTCATCTTTCGGCACCAGGTTTCCATTTAGATTTTGAACTACAGCGCAGTAAGCACTGTCCAGAAGAGAATCCACCTCAACCAGAGGTCCGTTCTCTATTCCTCCCCCCACGCCTCCACCCACGCCTCCACCGAGGCCTTCTGGAGACAAGTCCAGGTCATCCAACTTAACTTCTGTGGCCTCCACCTTCTCTGCTTTAATGTCTACCAGCAGGTCGTGGACCTCCACCCGCACCCCAGGACCAGCGCTCTGCTCGCCGGGTGTCAGGGCTTCTCCGTTGGGTCGCTTCACGACGCCCTCTGCGAGCAGGTTGCGCGAGTCCCCGCCAGTCCCCTCGCTGTACTCGGCCTCGCTCTCAGGTGTCTGTGTCTGGGAGTTGTCATCAATCTCGAGGTTGCCGTTTACGACAGGGGCAGGCGTAGCGGAAAGCCCGGAGATGGTGGACACAGAGCCTTTCTTCCCCTTCTTCATGTTTTCCTCCTCCTGGCGCTGGTACTCTTCGTACATCTTAGCCAAGTACTCTTTATGGGCTTCGTAAGTCACCTGTGACAGACGGTGGGGAAGTAATTGGTTATGTGATTAGAACACAAGCACTGACAATGGTTCACCCTCACATCAATAATGTCTTCACCAGGTAGTCCTTAAGGGGCTCATAGATCATCCGTTCCAAAGGCTGCATGGACACAACTGGGACACTAGCCTAACGGAGCTATTCCACCATCATCTATAATGCCCCCTCGCTTTCACACTGCCATGAGAAAATTGTCGAGTTAAATTTCCACAACTGACCAGTGAACAGTTATTGAATATGATATCTAGGATGAATCAAAAGTCAGCATGTTACTCCAGGTCACTAAAAAACGAAGTATGATAAACAATCGTCATTATTTTTAAATTAATAAAGCTTTTTTAGTATCAACATCAGTGAGTATTTTTAGGGAGAATTACTTCAGACAAAGAGGCAAAATGAAATTAAATAGAAGAATAATACTGCCGTAAAGGAAAAGTCCTTTACCAGTTTATTCTAATGTATATTATTGATTAATAATATGCAATCATCAATGGAATTAAGTAGTGATTGACCTTGCTATTGCGTCAACCTTCCTTGTCTAGTTCTACTCGTACCTTTACTAATTAATTAACTTTTTGCGTTAAGCAGTTACAGTGATTGCAACAGTGAGAGAATCAGGAGGGGGTTTTGGTTGAAAAAAAAAGAAGATATTTGATGCCTGAAAAATGCCAAATGTAATTTGGCTGCATGGCATTCTAGTCTATTGAGGATCTTCTGGATGCCGAAATTAGTATTTCTTCTTGGTATGTCTTCATTAATTGATTTCTTCATGTTTGATGCAACATGTTGAGTGTAAGGAGATGGCTTTGCTCCTTAATGCTTAAGGTGCATTTCTTACTCTCACCTTGGAGTGTGCGATGGATAGGGTGTCAACCCAGACACGCCACCCTCCCCATTCGTATTTAATAGCGTGGTAGAGCAGGATCCTGAAGATGTTGTACACCATCTCGGTTATTTTCTGCTCCTCGGGGTTCTTGGGGTTTATGTATCCAAGGGAGAACATCCAGTCCTGCCACACAGAGCACTGCAGCAGGCAGCTGGTACACAACAGAAAACAATGTATGAAGCTGCAGCATGAGCTTAATATCAAGATACAACAATCATCGTAAGAAGCAAAAGACACGTAGCTGAAAAAATGCAATGTGTGTGCTCTTACCGCCGGTTTTCGCGGCTGTTGCTGAAAAGTTTTATCATGTCAGAGAGAAAGAGTCTTCTGACTTCCATCAGCTCAGCACTGGGAGAGGAGTTCTTCAACAGGGTGGCCACTACCTTTAGAATCACTGTGTGGGAGGTAAAAATCAAGGAATGGGGAGAGGAAGGGGAAGAAGAACAAGATGAGAGCGCAAGACTAGCAAATATGTAAAAAGTATTTTAAATGAGAGAGAAAAATGTGAGGGACAAGAGAGTGAGAGGCAGATCAATAAGTGGGAGAAGGCAGCACTGTCGGCTGCTTAATTGAGTCTTTGTTGTTTGTTTGCTGGCATTAAAACAGTACCGCATCATTGGCAGACCAAAGAACACAGGGAGACGACAGGCGCCAATCTTTTTGTACTCACTGGGATTCTGGATCTTGACCGTGGAGTCTGGCTCAGGGTGGGGTTTGTGAACCACCTGAGTACAGACCTGCTCTGTCAGAATCTGCACACACACACACACACACACACACACACACACACACACACACAGAG